AGTTTGGTGCCTTGATCCCCATTTTACAGATGGGGATGCTGAGAGTGAAAGCAACTTTCCACTCACCATGCTGCCTCTCCAAGAGGTGGCAGAAAATGCAGCTCCAAAACCAGTTTGGTGACTTCCCTGGCGATACAGTGGTTAAGAATCCACCTTGTAATGCAAGGAGCATGAGCTTGATCCCTGGTCCGGGAGCTAACAACACCCCACATGCTTCAGAGCAACTAAACCCTCACAACAACTGAGCCCGTGTGCTCAACTAGGGAGTCTGTGTGCTGCAACGAAAGATCCCGCATGATGCAACTAAGACCCAGCACATAATAAACAAACAAACAAGCGAACCAGTTTGCTTTAGAGTATCCATTATCTAGGGCTTCTTAGAGAAGAGTCACCAGTTTCTCACAATGCAGCTGCCCTTCTGGCTGTTGTTTGCCAAGTCTTTTGATGACAGAAGGTCATTTTTATGTTCTGAATACAATGTTTTATTTGGAAGTGTTAATGCCTAATGCAGATAAAGCTGCAGTGGATTCCATGTGCCATTTGGTTGCCGGTAGCACAGAAAATCAGTACAATCCTTTTTGGAAGCAATACACAACAGAGCAAGACTCAAAAGAAGGTTAAGACCTTTTGACTCAGGAATTCCATTCCCAAGCATATATTTCTAAGAACTACTTCAGCAGAAAAAAAAATAGAAATTGACAGGCATAAAGATGTTCGTATCGGTATTAGCTACACTAGCAAATGACTTATAAAACGACAAATGTGATTTTGTTGTTTAGTCGCAAAGTCATGTCCAACTCTTTTTCGATCCCTTGGGCTGTCCATGGGATTTTCCAGGCAAGAATACTGGAGTGGGTTGCCACTCCCTTCTCCAGGGGATCTCCCTGACTCAGGGATCAAACACACATCTCCTGCCACATCTCCTACACTTCAGGCGGGTTCTTTACAGCTGAGCCACCAGGGGAAGCCCCAACAATGTGATGGGAGATGCTTTAAAAAGTGACTTTTTATGATGAGTAGTTTCTCCATATGTGGTAGCCAGTCCCCAAATTGCCCTCCGTGAGTCTCACCTCCTGGTAATCATGCCCTGGTGAAGTTCCCTTCTAGATGCTGAATAGAACTGACTTGGTAACCAGTAGGGTTGGGTGGAAGTGACCATGTGTGACCTCCAAGGAGAGGTCCTGGAAGATGTTGCAGCTTCTGTCTCGGTCTTTTGATCATTCACTCTGGGGGAGGCCAGCCACCACATTGTAGAGAAACCCAAGCCACGAAGAAGGTCTGGGGCCTCCGGCCAAGAGCCAGGTGAGTGCCCCACTTTGGGAATGGGTGGCCAGCCCCAGTCAAGCCTTCAGATGACCGCAGGCCTACCGGACATCTCAAGGGCAAACTCATGACAGGCCCTGAGCCAGCATTGCCCAGCTAAGCCGCTCTTGACATTCTTAACAGATAGAAACTATGAGAGACAATAAATGCCATTGTTTTAAGTGACTAGGATTTGGGTCATTTGTTTGAAAGCAATAGACATGATGTAATTCATACAGCAGTGAAAGTAAAAAGTGATAAAACTACTGTTATTCACACAATAGCAGTAGTTTCACAAACATGATGAATTTCATAAACATGATGTTAAGCAAAAGAAGCCAGATACCAAAGAGGGCATTCTCTGTGATTTTATTGGCACAAAGATCCTAAACACTCAAAGTTAATCTTTGCTGTCTGCATAGTGGTCCTTTTTTGGGAGGGGAAGCAGGGTAGCCACTGGGACCAATTAGGAGGGAGCCTCGAAGTGCTGATAACATTCCACTTTTTGGGCTGGCGGCTGTGTAGTTTAGACAAGATCTGCCACATTCGGGTGGTATGGCCATAGATTAGGGGCTGTATAGTTTAGATCATAGGTATGCTTCTTTTGTAAAAATTCATCAAGCTGTATATTTGTGATGCATGCTCTAGTCTGTATGCACACTATATTTCAATATGAAATGGTTTTAAATGATGATTGTATGGATACTGTTTGAAATCTAGAGACCTAAAATCAGATTCTGGGCCATGAAAAGGGCAGAACTTCAGGAGAGCCTGTGCAATGATTTGCAGTCCTGTAAAACACACACATAGAAGGCAGGATGGAAAAAAGATGAAATGTTTGTGTTGCAAGGCAGGGATTCCGGGCAACTTAAAAATCTTTGAAGTATTTCATTTAGGAATGTGTTAGACTGTCTTGTCATAGAGAATGAATAAAGGGCTGAGAGGTATAATACATTTTCACAGGGAGTCTAACCAGAAGCTAAAATACAATCCTGTAAGGAGTAAGCTTTTTATTCACCCCAAATTTGACCACCCAGAATAACTCCTTCCCAGAGATTTCACAAGTTGTTCAAGTGCGGTTTCTCTAGCAGAATCAGTTATTGAAACTGCCGTCCTCATTAAGCAGAAAAGTGGGCGCCCGCGCTCAAAGTCCGCAGTGCAGCTGGGCGTGGAGAGAAGCTAGGCCAGGCGGACAGGAGGTGTCAGTGACGTGGTGGGCAGAGAGCAGCAGGCTTTAGTTTTCTGCGAAGTAAGGGCTTTGCGGGCCTGCAGGCGCCCTCCCAGTGCAGGCGGCAATAGACTCAGAAACATCACCTCCAAATCCCCAAACGGCTGCAGGTTCAGAAGACAGGGGAGAAAGTTCTCCAGTTTCACTGAGCTATAAAGTTTGGATTTCCCGTAACAGCTTTCCAGAACAGGTTCCACATTGTTCTCAGTAGAAATCACACATTTCAGTATTCGGTAGCATCCTGAAGACACAGACTCTGGCACACTCCTTCTGTATGCCCTCTCCCAGCTCAAAACCAGTTGGTGAATTCCCCCACCTGTAACCCCCAGCACAACCTTAAAAAGTGTCCCTGATCTGGCCCAGAATGGTAAAAAGTGACAGATGCAACCCAGGCACCCCAGACTGTCACCTCCAGCCACCTGGCCAAGGGCCCACTGTATCTATCACCTGGGAACTCCCTTCACCAAATGATCTTTAAATGGGGAAGGGCTTTCTAAGCTTCAAAGCCGTGGAAGAAACCACAGAGGAAATGCTTGACAGTCCCACGCTACATAAAAACAAGAAATTCCGGTGTGATTAAGAAAATCAAGCAAAATTAAAAGACAAACAACTGGGGGAAAATGTTTGCAACAAATACCACAGACAGATGGTGAGGATCCTTACTTTAGAAAGAACCCACATAAATCACTTTTGAAGATACTTATACAAAGATGCTCATGGATAAAAGGGCACATGATTTAATAAAAAGCAAATATAAGAGGCTAACAGACATTTGGAGGGGGAAAGAATGCTCGATCTCTCTAAAGGTCAAAGAAACGCAAATAGCAATAAGATAGATTAAGTTATCAAAGACACTGCTCCCTGCTAACTGAAGTACAGAGGGATAGCATCCGTGTAGGCACTGGGGCTTGTAAATTCTTGAGCTATTTCTGGCAAGCCACTTGGTGATCTTTATCAAAAGCCTGAAAAATGTTTCTACTTTGTTCACTTTTTTTTTTTTTTACTGTTTCTTTAGAAACTTTTCAGCAAATAACTTGTTGATATTTATCAGTCTTCTTGAGATGGTTGTACTTTTGACTCATATTTCTGATTATTTTCTTCTCTGAAATCTACAAGTTGACATGCAGCTGAAGATGGGTGTATGTAAAGAGATGTCTGCTGCAGTGTGAACAGGCTGTAACGAAAAGCTGGAAAGAACCTAAGTGACCTACGGTCAGGGAGCGGGTGAGGCAATTACCGTACGTCCATGTGACTAAAAGCACTGGGAAAAAAACCGTATAACAGTCGAGGGTTCCAAATGATGTGGGGAAATGCTTATGAGGTAATAGGTTTGCAGTGGGAAGTAAGCTCTCAATTTCTTAAAGAAAAAAAATTTTTAGCCAACAGAAGGGAAAACACACCACACATGGATTGCCTCTGGCTGGTGAACTTAGGGGAAATTTGTATATGTGCTTCTTTACCACTTTCTGTGCTTTCCAAAATGTCTTAAGTGTGCAGGATTACTTTGATAATCACTTAAGTAGTTAACATCTGAAAAAAAAATTATTCTCCTTGATACAGTCGATTTTTCTAGTGAAAAGCAATTGTTCCCTTTATGAATTGACACGTAGGTTCAACAAATATTCGTGAGCAAATGAGTGAATAATGCTTTTAAGACTCTTGTGAATTGTTTCTCACTTTCTGCTTTTATTGCCTAGTTATTTGTGTATATGGCTTTCTCCCTCGTGACCCTGGAAGGTCTCAGAAGGCAGAAATCACATGTCTCCATTTATTCATATCCAGCCAGTGCCTAGAACCCAGGAGGAGCTCCAAATGTTATTTTTAAATGAATGGAGCATATCATACAGTTAAGTGTTTTCTCACATGAGATAAAGATTCAGGATGCCAAAGACTATGTTAAACCCAAGCCTCCTGAAGTAGGACTCCCTGAAAGCCAAGAACAAGATCAAAAAAGGGATTCTAGTGGCAACTCTGCCCCAACCCGGAAGCCATCAGGCGTTTATGCCAAAGCTGCTGTCTAGTCCTGAGAGCACTGTCCTAGGAGTCCTCATGCTGCAGTTAACTACATATGGGACTCTGGGCAAGTCACTCATCCTTAGTTCACTCAAGCGTGAACCAAAGGTGCTGGAGTACTTCTAGCTTGCTGGCACTAGGATTTCTAAAAAGCATCTGATAGTGAAAGTTGGTTTGGAATACCAAGGTGAAAGGGATCTTCAGAACATGGCAGAATTTTTCTTAAAAAAAGAAAAAAGCAAAACACCCTCTATTGATAAACCAAATCAATAATGTGCACCCGTGAGCTGGGCTCCACTTCATTGACATTTTTGTCTTTATCGTCAATCTTAATAATTAAATTAGGCAACCTTAAGGTTCTGGCAAGGACCCTGGGATTCCTGGAGCATCTGTAGAGATAAGCAACAACTCCCCTTACAGTCAATGATTTCGGAGAATGAGATGACTCACTGAAACGTCAGTGTTTCCAGTGAGGGCAGGGAATGGAGAGGATCCTGGGCTTTTCTTCTCTTTCCCCTCCTTGGTCCAGAATTCCGCATTCAGCCGCAGCAGGGTGGTTTTGCTGGTTTGCAGTGACCCCTGCAGACAGCAGGGAGTTGCACGTTTGTCTCTGAGCCGAAGAGGTGAAGAGGCCCCTCCTGCTCTCCCCGAACTCCCAGAGTCCCCTGTTACCAACCAGGATCCTCTCGATCACACAGAAATGGAGCGCCTGCCCTGAAGCTTGGTTCTTGGTATTAGAACCCTGAGCTCCGCTTGCTTTGTCCCCACTTGCATGCCCTTCAGAGATTGGAGCTGGGCATGGTGTAACCAGGAACTCCCAAACTCCCCAGGAGAAAGAAACGTCCAGTGGGAAGCGAAGGGCTGCTCCACCACAGTACCACGAAATCAGCCTTCTTGTGTCCCCAGCCTGAGCCCCTTCCAACCCTGGAGAGGTGACAGCCAGGAGCCCAGTGCTCTGGAGCCAGATGGCCTCCATCCGCTCTTGACTGCGTGAGCTTGGGCAAATTACTGAACCTCTGGATGCTCGAAGTTCCTTATCTTTAAAATGGGGTTAATACTCCAAGAGACTGTTGACAAGCTGAAATGATGAAACAGTTACCTATATTAACAATATATTTGTACCTATATGTATATAAAGCCGAGTAATTGGCAGGGGCTTCCCTGGTGGCTCAGAAGGGAAAGAATCCACCTGCAGTGCGGGAGACCTAGGTTCGATCCCTGGATTGGGAAGATGCCCTGGAGAAGGGAATGACTACCCACTCCAGTATTCTTGCTTGGAGAATCCCACGGACAGAGGAGGCCAGCAGGCTACAAGTCCATGGGATGACCAAGAGTCGGGCATACGGTGTTTAAGGAAAAGCATTTATTCTTCTTTGACTGAGGAAACCGGAGAACGAAGAAACACTGGAAGGAACGGAAGCAGGTCCATTTCTTATAAGAAATGAGATCAGAAATGGGTGGCTGGCTTTTTCTTCCCACCCCCACCCCCTGCCCCAAAGGCCGTCCCAAAGGCAGCTTGCCTCCCTTGAGGCCAGTCCCCAGGCCGTCTGGCAGGCGGGGCTCTCCTCCCCGGGGACAGGGTCAAGTTCAGCGCGGGGACCCCTGGCGGAGGCACGCGGGCGGGTCTCCTCTGCCGACGGCGGGGCATCTTGCTGGATCTGGACCCCGGGGTGGGGGCCCGCCCCTGGCGCGAGGGCGAAGCGAGGAGGAGGCCCGGGCCTTAACGTCGGCTGCACCCAGGCCGCGTCCCAACTGCCCCCAGACCTGCCAAGAGTTTAGCTTCCGAGGCGCTTCCTCCAGCCGCCCGCGGGCCGAGCTCGTGCAGAAGTGCGCAAAGAGCTGCAAGAAGCGGCTCCGCGCGCGGCCCCCGGCCCGGGGGCGGGTGGGCAAACCAGAGGCCCCCGGACCTGACCTCAAAGCAGGGTCCCGCACCCCCCGGCCCCCACCCCCCGAAAAGGGTGCGAGCTGGGCCCGCGGGGCCTGCGGCCGGCGGCAGGGGCGGAGATGAGCGGCGGCGCGGGGCACGTCGGTTCGCCACAGGAAGGAGGGAAGAGGCCGGAGGCGCCTTCACAGCGCGGTGCCCTGACAGATCTGATAAAAGAGGAAGGAAGCCCTCGACGCGGCTGAGCCGAGCTGCCGGCTCCCCAAACCGACGAGGTCCTGCAGCTGTCACAGCTCCTGAGGGCGCGCGGAGGCCGGGCCGAAAAGCCGGGGAGGCTGCGCCCCCTGCCGGTCGTTCGGAGAGACCGTCCCGGGGGCCCGGAGAGCGGGCCGGGCTGCGAGGACCAGGGCGCGACCACCGCCTCCTCCTCAGTTCAATTCAGTTCAGTTCAGTCGCTCAGTCGTGTCCGATCTTTGCTGCCCATGGACTGCAGCACGCCAGGCCTCCCTGTCCATCGCTAGCTCTCGGAATTTACCCAAACTCATGTCCATCGAGTCGATGATGACATCCAACCATCTCATCCTCTGTCGTTCCCTTCTTCTCCCGCCTTCAATCTTAGTTGGTAAAGGCCCTGGGTGGGTAAGTCTCGGGGGCGGCGGGGTGGGGGGGGGGGGCCGGGGAGCGGGGATACGGAACTTGCCTGGGCCTGCATCCTTTATCTTCGGCTGCCTGCCAGACACCGCAGAGAAAGAATCACAGGGCCAGGTTTGCTCCAGCTGGGCTCTGTTTACCTCGTAGTGTTTAGTCGCTCAATCGTGTCCGACTCTTTGCGAATCTCCACGAACTGTAGCCCGCCAGGCTCCTCTGTCCATGGGGATTCTCCAGGCCAGAATACTGGAGTGGACTGCCATTCCCTTCTCCAGAGGATCTTCCTGACCCAGGGATGGAACCCGGATCTCCTGCGTTGCAGGCAGATTCTTTACCCATTTGAGCTACAGGGAAGACCCTGGCAACCCAATTAACTTGGCAGTCCAGGGGTCGGAGCCAAGCCCACCCTACTGAGAAAGGTATAGAAGCACTTCTGAAGATGGCAGAGCCCCGCTCCAGGGCTCTGAATTTTTGCTGTCGCTCCCTAACTGTGTGACCTTGAGCAAGTTCCCCTGCGCTTCAGTCTCCTCATTCATGAAATGGGGATCATAGACTCCACCCCACAAGGTTGTAGGGAAGACCGAGTTAATATATGTAAAAGTGCTTAGAACAGCTTCCTGGCTTAGTGCACATCCGTCAGTTAAATTGCTTAATTTCACTGTAGGGTGAAGGCTTGTTGAACTTGCTGTAACTGGTTCCTTGTTCTGGGGATTTTCTTGCTGCCTTTATATATATATGTATATATATATATTTTTTGGCTGTGCTGGATCGTCCTTGCTGCTCAGGCTTTCTCTAGTTGTGGAGGAGGGGGTTGGGGGGGGGGGCTACTCTCTAGTTGTGGTGGAAGGATTTCTCATTGCCCTGACTCCTCTTGTGGAGCACAGGCTCTAGGGTGGGCAGGCTTCAATAGCTGCGGTTCCTGGGCTCTAGAGCACAGACTCACTACTAGTTGTGGCACAGAGGCTTAGTTGCTCCACTGCAGGGGAAAAAAAAAAAAACAAAACCCAACTTCCCCCAGCAGGGGTCAAACCTGTGTCCCTGGCATTGACAGGCAGACTCTTTCCCACTGAGTTACCAGGGAAGCCCTCTTGCTGTCTTTCATCCTAGCCTATCTTCGTTCAGTTCCACGGCATTGGGAGAACTTACCTTGTATGATGCCACTCTTCTGAAACGTGTGGAGGCTTCCTTTCTGGGCCAGCATATGGATTGCTCTCCTAAAACCTCCGTGTGCACCTGAAAAGAATGTACATTCTGCAGCTGCCAGATGTAATGTTCCAATGTCAATTAAGTCAAATTAGTTAATTGAGTTATTCCTTACTGAGTATGTGGGCGTGTGTGTGGTTCATTTCCTGCTTGTTCTATTAGTTAGTGAGAGAGCTGTTAAAAATCTCCTTATGATGGTGAATTTGTCTATTCCTCCTTTCAGCTTCACTAACTTTTGCTGTATGTATCCAAGGCTGTGTTATTAGATGAGTATAAATTTAGGACTCTTGTATCTTCCTAGTGAATAAAACTTTCATAATTATAAAAGGGCACTATACACGTCTATATTGTAAAATGTCCTTCTTTGTCTCTGGTAAATACTTCTTGCCTCAAAGCCTGCTTTTTATAATGGTTACATCTGCTTTCCTGTTTGCTGTGTCAATGAAATAACTGTTACATCCATGAATTTCAAACTTTCTGTGTCATTGTAAAGTTTGTTTCTTGTAAATGCCATATATTGCATTTTGATTAGTTTCATACTCCCTCTTAGTTGGATTGTTTACCCCACTTATATTGACTATAACTAATGGTGTAGACTTTATAGCTAATCTTTTGCTGTTTTTCCAATTAGTCCTATCCTTTGTTCCTTTAGTCCTTTTTTCTTTTGGAGTTGCTGGATTTTTTTAAAATTCCATTTTCCTCTTGCATCTTAGATGTTTTGAAATGCATTCATGTACTCTTGAAGCTTAGATTATCAAGCTATTTTTTATAGTTATCCTAATAATACCTAAGCTTCTCTAGAGAATACAATATTTATGATTACAGGTTTTAAAAATTAGTACTTTCACCACTTGCCAGGTACAAACAACCCTTTCTTCTACCTTTCCACACTATTATACATGTATAATATATAACCACTGTTATGTACTCCATATCACATATTTTTAACAATACATGTCAAGACATTACTGCTGTTTAAAATAGTCAATATTCTTTCATATTTGCCTATATATTTACCCTGTTCATTGCTCTTTATTCTTCCTTCCGGTTCTATACTACCACCTGGGGTCATTTTCCTTTAGGCTGAAGTATTTCCTTAAGTATTTTTGTAGCACATGTCTGCTGGTGCTTAATTCTCTCAGCTTTTGTCTGTCTGAAAATGCCTTTAGTTTGTTTTTAAGAATATTTTCACCAAGTTGGCAGACCTTTCTCAGGACTTTTAAGATTCTGGCTTCCAAAGTTTCTGCTCAAAAGTCAGCCACTGCTCCTTCAAAGGTTACATGTTTCTCTCTGGCCATCTTTAGAATTTTCTGTCTTTGGTTTCCAGCAGTCTGACTAAGATATTCTTAAGCGTGCCTTTTGGTTTTGCTTTTACTCCATAATGAATTTGCTGAGTTTTATGCATCTGTAGGTTAAAGTTTGCCAACAATTTTGGAAAATCCTGTTATTATTTCATCAAATATTGATTCTGCCCCATTCCCTTTTACGTCTGGGACCTCAATTACATGTATCTTGAGGTTGTGTTCACCATGTTTCTTATGCTGTTTTTTTGTTTGGTTTGTACATTCTTTTTACTGTTTGCTTCCATTTGAATTTTTCTATTGCCCCATCTTCAAGCACTGATCCTATCTCCTGCTGTGTGTGCTCTGCTGTTAAACCCACACAGTGAGTTCTTCATTTCAGATTTGAGCTTTTATTGCAATATTCTTTTCAAACAGCTTTATTGAGGTTTAACTTACAAACTGCAGAATTCACCCATTTTAGGCAAACAAAAGTTTTTTTAGATTTATTAAGTTGGGCAGCCATTAATACAATTTTTCCCCTCTTTCTTAAGAATATATTCTGGATGACATCTAAATTGAAATTTAAGTCAAATACAAAGGAAATAGACATCACTAGCTTTGCCAATCAACCTATCTATACACTGCTTACCCAAAACTTTTAAGCAGGCAGAATGGCCCCCTTGTAACTTTTAAAAATTGAGATATAATTCATATATCATAAAGTTTACCTTTTAAAGTATACAACTCAGTGGGTTTTAGTATATTCACAAAGTTGTGCAATTATCACTGTTAATTCCAGAACATTCATCACTCCAAAAAGAAACGTGTAGTCACTAGCAGTTACTTCCCCTTCTCTCCTTCCCCAGCTCTTAATTTACTAACTTACTGTCTCTGTAGATTTGTCTATGCTGGCCATTTCATATAAATGGAGCCATATAATACGTAGCCTTTTTGTGTCTGGCTTCTTTCACTGAGCACGCTTTCAAGGATCACATTGTAGGTTGTATCAGGACTTTTTAATGGCCAAATAGTATTCCATTATATGGACATTTCATCCAGTCACTGGTTGATGGCTATTTGTTTCCATATGGGGCTACTATGAAAAACCATGCCATGAGCATTATTTCTCCTGGTTATAAACCTAGGAGTGGAATTGCTGGGTAAGTATTATTAGTTCTATGCTTAGCTTTTTAAGGATCTGCCAAAGTGGCTGTACCATTTTACATTCCCACCAGCAATGTATGCATGAGTTCTAATTTATCCATGTCACTGCAAACACTGTCTGTCTTCTTGATTATGGCCATCCTAAAAGGTGTTTTTTATGGTTTTTGATTTACATTTCCCTAATGACTAATAATGTTAAGCTTCGAAGTGTTTACTGGTCATCCGTAGATCTTCTTTGGAGAAATGTATGTTTAAACCCTTGTTCATTCTTTGATTGGGTTGTGGGGTTTTGTTTGGCCACACACATGGCATGCAGGGATCTTCAGCTCCCTCACCAGGGACTGAATCTATGCCCCCTGCCGTGGAAGAAGAGCCCTAACCACTGGACTGCCAGCGAAGCCCCCAGCTGGGTTGTCTTTTTATCATTGAGTTTTAACAATTCCTTATATATTCTGCATACTAGACCCTTATCTACTGTATTTAAAGCAGACCTCTCGTGTCCGTTTGCGGTCAATTCCCACTCCCAACCTTGTTGCTCACTTGCTCGGTCGTGTTTGACTCTTTGTGAACTCCCAACCCTAGTAACAGGCAACCGCTAAGCTACGGCTGCTCTGTTTCAGGTAAGCCCACCTTTTAATGAGATTTTGTCTCCTAAGTGTTGTGTCATTGTGGGACGCTTCACTCTGCCTTTTGGTGGCCCTGGGCTTAGCATCTGGCATGGCATGTAGAGCGCTGGAATTCAGCAAATGTCCTGGGAGAAAACCAGTCACTTACGTAAGTGTCTCAGGGGTCCAGTATGTCATCACCGAGGACCTTTACTTTCTTTTACCAAGTAGTGCCCTTCTGCATGGGCTAAACCCAATCTTCAATCCCAGGCCCAGAATCAGCAAAGGCTAAGGAAAAAATGGCCAGACCATCAGTCCACCTCAGAAAGGCTTCCTCCTCTGAAATCCAATTCTTTTAGTCTTTATTGCTTCTGCAGTTTTCTGATGTTTAAAAGCAGTATTGAATTTTTGGTATTTTAAACCAGTTTTTTCTGGTAGTTGCAGCAGGAGTGTTGTGTTGATATGACCTAATATATCCTACTCATCAATTATATTAAGCTTTTTAAGACTTTATATCCTGTCAAGCAAGTTTCTTTTCTTTCCCCCTCTCCTTCCAGATATATGTTGGCTATTTGGGGAGCATACTTCTTCCACATGAATGTTTTAAATCCATTTATCTGTGTCCCCCCAAAAAATCCTCTTGGGATTTTGTTGGGAAAATATATTGAATTTATAAATTACTTAAATCTGAAATTATTATAACTTTTACATTCTCCATCTATGAACATGGTATACCTATCCATTGAGTAGGTTTCTTTTAGGTCCTTTAATAATATTTTGTACTTTTCTCCATCAAGGAATTGCACATACTTTATCAGGTTTTATCCCAAATACCTTAGAGATGATCTTTTAAAGTACTTACAAATTTCCAAAAGCTCAAAAAAGTAACACTGACAATTTTCATCCATTTTTCTGTCACCCAGTTTTCTTCTAGAAGAAATGAATGTTACTAGAATGTCTTTTCTTCTAGAAGAAATGAATGTTACCTATTTATTTTTAATGTGGTTAATGTTAGTATATAGTTCAATCTTGTATCTAGTAAGCAACTGAGTTTTATTATTTCTAATAGGTTATTTTGAATTTCTTTTTTATATATGTATCATCTACAAAGGAGAAGTCACTTGGTCCATCTGTTTCCATCCCTTACTCCTTTCACTGATTTCACTGCACTGGTGGAGGACACCTCTAACACAGCAGTTACGTAAAATAGCTGAGTGATAGCTGTGATAGAAGACAACCGTATTTTGCTTCTGACTTGTTTCACACTTGTTTCTGACGGCTTGTTTCACACTTATTTATTAAATTTGCTGTAGGTTTTTGGCAGATGTCTTTATTGGGTTAAAAAAAAGTTAACCTTTGATCCCGCTTTGCTAAGAATGGGTACTGTGAAAGTTTTTATAAGTTATTTTATGCACCTACTGAGATGATTGTATGGTTTTTCCCTTTAATCTATTAAATGTGGTGAACTGCCCCCTCAAAAAAAACAAAGGTAGTCTCAAATAAACACTTTTACCCCAAATTGTTATTTATTTTCATGAGGGGGGGAAGAAAGAACCTTTTATGATAGTGAAAATATACTTTATTTTTTAATACAATAGCTGCCAGCAATATACTGGTTCCACAGAGAGAAAAGAAAATACAAGCATTCTATAATAAGCTTTCATTTTCCTTTTCAAGTAATTTAAAAAAATACTTCAATTCTGTTCAACATTATGGTTTGGGGGAGTTGAAATTTTTTTCCATAATAGAAGTATAATTTTGACAGCCCCAACCTTGGTAATTTGTAAAGGATGGAATAAAAATGATGATACAGTATAACAATAATGAATGCTTCCCTCTCTTTGAATCAAATACTGATTATAACCAGTGTAAGAAATTGGTTAATCAATAAATTTGATGAAATGTGTATCAAAATGTTCATGAAAAAATACATTTCTATTTCTTCT